AGTGATCTGTCAGTGCGCAGTATTTCATGATATTTCCATTCCATTTCTCCAAAAGTTCACAGCCATCACATACAGTACTTAGAGCCACCTAATTCAACAATAATAATGTGTTGCTCATCTCAAACATTTCATAACAGAACACTAACCGGGATCTCGATATAACAGTGAGCAGAGTGAACCGAGACCTCGTTCTCACACAAACGTTCTTCGACATTTCTAACAAACACCTCATAAGCAGAAGAACAGGATTTGTAATTCAGCCTGCAGCAAACACACACTGAAAACATGCAGCTAATCGGAGCAGCAGCTCCATCATTAACATTAACCCAATATATTTAAGTGACATATTAGTTTGTCTGTATCAAATTCGGAAGATCTCAAATCTCATTACCAGTTGATGCAAAAGATACAAAGAGAAGTGAACTGACCTGTGACAGAAAGTTTCATGGTGGCCTCCAGAGGTCTGTTGTTATCCAGATCTTTGCTGAGTTTTAGCTCTCCAGTATCCGGGTTTAGAATCAGCAAACTCAACTCATTTCCTTCAATGAAGCTATACTTGAGTTTATCTGACACATCTGGGTCGTAAGCTGGTACCTTTCCTATAATCCCAGACGGAAAGCTATTGGATTTGTTGGTGACGTAGTTATTGAAGATAATCTCAAAATTCTGCAGGACCGGGTCGTTGTCATTGACGTCCACCACACGGATGTGGACGATCGCACTGCTGACCAGAGGTGCAGACGTGGCCTGCACTTGTATGACATACTCCCGTTTGGTCTCGTAGTCCAAATCCATGAGCAATTTTAAGTCTCCAGTTAACATATCCAAGTCAAAGACTTCAGGGTTGTTTCCCGCTAGAATTTGGTACAATATCTGAGCATTGGTGCCTTCGTCGGGGTCCATGGCTGAGATCTGGGCGACCACGGAATCAACGGGGCTGTTTTCTTTGACGTCGATGAACAGTTCGTTCTTCTCAAAAACAGGAGCATTGTCATTGGTGTCCAACACCGAAATCTGGATCTCCACTGCTGCTTTGAGAGGAGGAACACCTTTATCTACAGCAAAGGCCTTCAGGTTATAGACCGGAATGTTCTCTCTGTCCAGCTTCCGGTTGATTCGGATAATCCCAGAGTACGTCTCAACCATGAAGTCTCCTTCCCCATCGTCACCTCCTTGAAAGGTGTAGCTCACACGTCCGTTAGACCCCGAGTCCCTGTCGGAAGCAGATATCTGGAGCACGCTGGTCATCAGAGGAGCATCTTCCAAGACGGAACCCTGGTATTTGTCCCTCCCAAACTGTGGAGCGTTATCATTGGCGTCCAGAACGATAATTTCCACGTACGTGGTGTCGGACTTCTGTGGGATTCCATTGTCACGGGCAATGATGGCGAGTGTGTAGGAGGCTAGGTCTTCATAGTCGATCTCCGTCTGTGTGGTGATGGCACCTGTGTCCGGATCGATCTTAAACTGTGGTACGTTGTCCTCCATGATGTAGGTAATACGTGCATTCTCACCTGTATCCTCATCCGTCGCACTGATTACCACAACAGTTGATCCAATGGGTTGGTCCTCGCTGAAGGTCTGATGGTAGCTGGCGCTCTGGAACACGGGTCTGTGAGTGTTAGCATCAGTTACGTTGATGAACACCTGCGCGGTGTCAAAGCGTGTACCGTCAGAGGCGGTGACAGTTAGAACGTACTGCCGTTCCTTTTTGTAATCTAACTGGTACGCCAGCGTGATAACTCCAACTCCACTTTGACTAGTGATGGCAAACCGGTTCCGCGTGTTACCACTGGAGATCTGATAGGTGACCATACTGTTTACGTCACGGTCCAGAGCTGTGACCGTTAACACACTAGACCCTACAACCGCATCTTCATTGATTTTCAGCGAGTACTCCTTCTCAGTAAACGTAGGGATGTTGTCGTTCACATCTAGGATGGTGATGCTAACGCTTGCTGAGGACGACATCACCGGAAATCCATTGTCTCTGGCTTCCACTCCGAAGGTGTAATACTCAGTGGTTTCCCTGTCCAGCTCAGTAGTGACTGTTACCCATCCAGTGCTGTTATTGATGGTGAAGGGGAAACCTGGAGTGGTGTCTGTGAGGCGGTAATCCAAACGGGCGTTTTCGCCGGAGTCCGAATCAATGGCCTGAATGTGAATCACTGAATATCCAATGGGCACGTTCTCTAAAACGGTGTTTTGGAATGGAGTGCTTACAAACATGGGAGCATTGTCGTTCACATCCACAACTTGGATGACAACAACGCCGGAGCCGTTAATAAGAGGCGGCCTGCCTCCATCCTGTGCCTTTATGCGTAAATTATACTCTCTGATCAATTCGTAGTCCAGGGGGTTGATGACATCAATGGCTCCGGTTGGGGTGTGAATGAAGAACTGACCTTTTACGTTGCCGCTGATTATACTGTAATGAACCTTACCGTTATTGCCCTCGTCTCGGTCCGAGGCTTCAACCTGGGCCACTTTAGTGTTAATTGCCACATTTTCCGGCACCTGAACTACATATCTCTTCTCACTGAACTGAGGGTAATTGTCATTTTCATCTTCAACTGTGATGTACACTGTCGCAGTAGCACTGCGGGGGCCAGGGTCATTTCCTTGGTCATTGGCCTCTACTATCAATTGATACTGGGCCATGGTTTCTCTGTCTGGACGCAACCGAATCTTAACCAGTCCATTCCGGGAATCAATTTCAAACCCGGAATTAACACCTTCGCCATTGACAATCTTATATATCATGTTTGCATTGGATGGTGCATCTCCATCTGTCGCCCTCACCGTAATCACCTCAGCACCAACTTCCATATTTTCTCTTATGATTTCCCTATATTCATTTTGCTCAAACACGGGTCCATGGTCGTTGGTGTCACTTACTGTAACGGTCAGGTATGACGTGGCTGTGCGTCGCGGCGTGCCATTATCAGTAGCTGTGACTTTAAAAACGTGTGTGTCTTTAACTTCTCTATCTAAGGGCTGGACAGTCTCGATGCTGCCGGTTTGAGGGTCTATCCGAAAGAAATCCTTAGAACGCCTGTCGAATAATGCTTCCATGCCATACTCGATCGTTCCCGCGTCTCCAGGGTCGCTGTCAGTCGCTTTGAGGGCAATTACGCGCGTCCCCGCTGGCTCGTTCTCGGGCACTGAGACCTGGTAGTTCGGTAACTGAAACTGAGGCGCTGTATTCACTGCTCGCTTTATTCTCGGTTTCCATTGCACAGAATTGAATAATGAAGTTTGGATTGAGGCGAATCGTAATGTAAGGCACAAAGAGAAGGGCTCACCGTTTGAATCGCGAAACGAACAGCGAATTGTGTTTTTAAAGCGTCTCAAGTCCGTCTCCAAACAGTACGCGTCCTTCACGAGTAAAGTCCCGTTACGCAAAAACACATTCAGGTGGTCTGAGGTGCAAGAAGAAGCAAAAACGCCAGCGTGTCTTGTGAAGACAGGTAAATAATCCTTAAAATTAAGGAGTAAATCACCTGGAGAAAAGCAGGAAGTTAGTCCCAAGTTATAAATGCAGTCCACGTTAATATCAGGCTTACTCACTCTCTTCCTTTTATATTTGAACACGCAATTTCGTCCGTGTACAAATACATTAAAATGCGCGTTAACTAGTCCTTCAGTTGTTAATGATGTCATTTTAAAATAAAGAGGCAGCGCGCTCTGATGGGCGCGCGGACAGTCCACCTCTCCATTTAAACGCACTACTCCATCTCTCCAATCCACTTTAATAAAGTTCCCAATGTACTTGGAAGTTAAAGTCCTGTCTATTTTATAAGTCCAACCTGGTCCAAGTGACAAATTGGCAAGAACAGCTCCAGAATGTAAAGTCTCCGAGAGGTGCAAGTCAAAACATCCCATGAGAGGAACGCAGAGGAGAAGGTGAACCCATAATAACCAACGCATTACTAAATCCATGGTGTAAAACTCCACAAAACATGAAGAAAAAACACGTCAGCTCTCCTTCTGCCGGCACCTCGACCTTCTTTTATCCTTCATTGTAGCTTTTTAACAGCAGAAATAACTGTTTGTCAGGCTGGTATCCATGGAGCCAAGTGACATTATCCACGTTAAGTTTTAAATGAGAACAAAATGGCTCCGTGCGTGCGCGTCTCACCCCCCGCACACACACACACAGTCATTAACATAAACCTGCACTGCACCTCCTCTCAGGACTAAAGAAAAACTCTCATGGAAATTCAACCATTGTTATTCACCGCTGCATATTCCTTGGTTCTTTTGCGACTTTTCTTAAGCGAGCGACGCGGCGCGTCAAACTAACTCTCCTATAGACTAATAAATTAAGTTTCGCGATTAAACAGTTTCATGCGCGACTGTCCACATGTTGTGAATGCGTTTATAAATAAACGCAGTTTACAATGCAATTTATAATGGTTAGTTTGTATTTTAGTTGTTTGTGTTGGGTCGCTCGCTTGCAGTTTAGACTAAAGTTTTCAGCTTTTTGTCTATTAAAGTGATATGAATTCACACCACGTGTTCAAATCACTCAGTTGAGTAATAAAGAGTTATCAATGCTGGATTCTCTTGTTTATCCTCTAGACTATTACAGAAACAGCCATTGTTTTCACCAGCATGACATAATACAGTTATTATAATTAAACATCAGACATTTGAAACCCCTCATAGATCCGTACACATGGGACCTTAAAAGGCTTTTGAATTTATTTTAAAACATTAAAATAATGTTTGGAGCTTTTCTTGACATTTCATTTTTTAATTTTTATTTTTTTTTTAAATCCACATGACCCAGTTAAAATAGGAAAGACAATCCACTTATTTTTGTCATTGAAACCTTAAGTTTTCACACACATACTGCAAAATATTTACAAATGTTCCATTGCAGATATAGAGGGTGAGTTTGTATGCAATGCATTTTCGTAGCCTTATATCTGATTTTATTTGATTCGATTGTGCATTTATAGTAATGTGTACACATACGGTTCTTTTCTTTCAGCTTATTCAATCAGGTGTCTCCTAAACGTGAAAACATGACTCTATTCAAAGGATATCGAAGTGTAGTTCTTCTAAAATAATATCACTCTGCTTTGAAAACTAATTACTTCAAACATTTATTTACAATAAATGCTAATTATAATTATAAATATCTTTTACAATTTCGTTGAATCGTTATATCAGGCATTTAAAAACTCACTGAAGAGGAAACCAAACCCCAAACGATATGATACTATACACTATACACACACACACACATAGATTAGACCTAAGTTTCTATTTTTTAAAATCTTTATATTATTATAAATAGGTCAATAATTTAGTCGAGGTCAATCATTTATTCTAAATCCTTTTTTAAAAGCAAAAAGACTCAACAGATATTATAATATATTGCAATTGTCTGCCTTTATACGTATAGATTAAATATGTTAATTTATGTTTAATATAGTATTCTGTGTGTAGCATAATTAATGAAAATCGAGGAAGAGTGTATTTGTCCATCAGCACCAGTTATAAATGTTGCTCTTCCGCCCTCTATTGGCAGAGAAAACAACTCCTAACAGTCGTAACCATGCATGTGGTGTTATATTTGCTTTTTACATTAAGATTGCATAGATCAGGATGTGGTGCACAATAAAGGCACTAAAACCATAAACACACACACATATATATATATATATATATATATATATATATATATATATATAAAGGAGTAATCCGATATTAGCAAATAAATGACAATTTCAATTGAAATAAAAAGAAACATAATAAAAATTCTATCAAAGTTTCTATATTTTCAGCCCGTCTGTAAATACTGAGAGCATCTTTCCACAGCACTAGCCTGTTGAGATCTTGTTATTGTCCACAGAGGTCAGAGGTGTGCTGGTTTCCTGCTGTGTCTCAGCTGACGGGCTCTGGGTGTTGGTGGTTTGTGTCTTTAGGGTGGCAGTTCGTGCAGTTCAGACCTTTCTGAAGAGTGAATTTTGTGGGTCCCAGACGCATTATCTTCCCACTGCCCAAACACTCATCTCCCTTATACAGCACAGCAAACTGCAAAGCAAAGACAATGGAAGTTCAAATAAACCATTTTCAGTAGGCCTACCCGATCCAAAATTCCCAAATTTCCTTTCCATGATTTGAACACAGTAATACAGTTCATTACTTTAACTGTGGCCTAAGCTCTGCCCAGTTTTAAAGATCAAAGTGCATGACAGATAAATGGGTTTTCTCCTAAAAGAAAGAATCGATTCTGAATTACTGAAACGAGTCGTCAGCAATTCGGTCTCCTTTCCTGTTACAGACCTACGTAACAATGTAACACATTTGCATAATGCCAGCCTATCGTCTTCATTGGATGTTTGGGAACAAATTCTACTCAGACCCTCAAACATTGATTTGTATTTGAGGCCTGGAAGAGTTTGGTTCATGTTGTTGACATGTCGAGAAGACATGTGATGTGAAAACTACGGTGGCCCAGTAGTGCATAACACAGCGACACTTAAAAAGCAAACACAAGTTCACAACAAAACGAAATTAAGCCACAGCACAACTAAATGAATCCACCACAACACAACGAAATAAAGCCAGGACACAACGGAAATGCTACCGACCACTAGAGGGCTCTCGGAGCGCGTTAAAGTTAGTTTTCCATGCCGTCTAAAAAAGATATCAACACCATGATTAGTTTTAACTGTATGTACCATTGTACATCGACATTATTAATTCAAAATCACCTACGTGCATTATATCTTTGACGCGCTTCCATATCGCATGATCCTGAAAGGGAACGTCTGCCATATCCTCCAAGTTGTAAAAGTTGTTGTATATTTTTTTTTTAATTAAAATCACTTTTAACAATCAAAAACAGACATGTTTTTTAACTAGTTGTTCCAGAGGCATGCGACCTCTGACATATATAGCAATTGTAAGTCGCTTTGGATAAAAGTGTCAGCTAAATGAATAAATGTAAATGTAAAAGTAAATGATTTGGAATGTTAAGAGTCATTCTGCCATGATGTAGATGTGTAGAGATTACCTGCCCAGGAGTTATTGCCCTCAATGGCTCTTTCATCATTACCCACACCGACCCATCAAGATTCAAAGTTACAGTACATGGAGCTGAAAGAAACAAATATGTTTATATTAGCACTGTTTTTGTCTTCTTGTAAATTTCTTTCTTTTTTAAAAAATAAAACATTTTTTTTTTGTTAATTGAAAAAAAGAAATATTAGATGAAAATATTAAACTTAAAACATATGCTATAGTCACTAAAACTGTGATAACTAAAAAGTTAAAAATAAAAAAAAAAGTACAATGTAAAATGAAAGTAAATGAAAGCTAAATAGAAATAAAAAAAGACAAATAATATTGACCATAGGACATTAAAAATACTAAAAAAAATAGCCCTCAATTGGGTCATGGGGTCTATACGACCCCAATCGACTTTTACTTAATAAAAAAAAGGTTCCCTTCATCTCAGTGGAATAAGATTTTTCATACATTATCTATCTACACACACAAAAAAAAAACTGGGCTTGATTCGGTTGTTCTGAAGGTATGTAAAAAAATGTTTACACTTCTGGTCTTCGGGGTCAATATGACCCCACATTGAAATGAATGGCAAATGTGAAATATATATATATATATATATATATATATTCTTCATGTGTCAATTTTTTATAAAAAAAATCCAGCATAAATCAGAAAATTTTTACACAGAAATGAAGGCCTAGTACTAGAGCATAAATGTATCATATTCAATGTATCATAAAAAAAATACTATTTCATATGCAAGCTAATGGTTGAGGAATTGTGTGGTATATGGATAAAAAAGTACTTTATATCTCCAAAAACACAGCATTAATGAATAGATGAGAAGTAAACAAAAAAAAAAAGATATATAATTTGTATGATTAAAAATGTTTTTGTTTTTTTTGTACAATTACTCAATCAATTGTTGGCGTTGTATATACCCCGAAGCCCAGAAGTGTAAACAGGAAACGAAGACCATTTGAAGGTTCAACTAAAATGAGAATAAAAAAAAAATCTCTAAATAAATAGTATAAATAATACTAAAATAATGGCTGCTGGTAAAATTATTGGCCACTGGTTGTTGTAGTGTGCATAACTATTTCAACTACTCACATAACCATGTCAACTGACCCTTTTTCTAATAATTCTGGGTAAACAAAAAAAAGGCGACTCACTCAAAGGCATCTGGTTTTGGAAACGGAAGTGACATTCCATCATCTGAGTGTGGACAAGTTCGACGGGCGGCTCTTCGGCGATCCAATGGAAGCGGTCTGTCTGTAATGTGTCTCGTAACAGTGCTGGGTGGTTAGTGGTTGGACCCTGCAAGAGTCGCCATATTTTACAAAGCGATCAAAATGAAAAGTCATATTTGGTCCTGTTTTAGCAAATTAAATGTACATGAACTATGTAACGTTACTATGAAGGATCCAAATTGTGTAACTCACCACAAATACATCACCGGTAGTGATATCTTTATCAACTACAAACCAAGGGTCTTCTTGCCCTCCTATTCTTGCCCTCTGACCCAATGTTAATGTGAACCAGCCTGTGAAATATAGCATTGTGTGCATCAGTCATGCAGTATCACACAGACACTATGTAGCAGAACATCAACAAACTAGATGAGTAAAGTTTGATGGCAAACATTGATGTTGGCTTGACAAAGCCTTGTCTTAAAGTTTTGAAAAAAAGCTTGAAATTTGAAGATTTTACTCAAAGTAGTCAACTAAATGTTATTAACATGTTCTAGCACATTTCTGTCATGTTTAGGGATCATGTCTTAGCATTATTTAGGATGTTGCAGGCATATTTCTAACATGAATGATTGTTAGCATGTTTTACCGTATTCCAAACATGATTTAGCACGTTGCTAGCACAATTTACCAAGTTGCTAACATGATTGTCACATTGCTAACATGATGTAACATGTTCCAAACATGACGTCGCATATTCCTAACATGAAGTAATATGTTCCTAACATGATTTAACACATTGCTAACATTATTCACCACATTGCTAGCATTATTTACCACACTGCTAGCATTATTTACCACACTGCTAGCATTATTTACCACGTTGCTAACATGATTTAGCATGTTAGCAAGCATGATTATCACATTGCAAACATGGCGTAACATGTTCCTATACTAACATGACATTTTATAATGTTATAGTTATTACTGTGTTAACATTTAACACTCTTATAAAATGTTTCTAGCATGATTTAGCAAAATAAAAGTCTATGGAAATTTGGAATGGTCCGAAGTCCAATAGAGGAATTCCCAAAGTCGGATCAATTAGAAAAGCTATAAAAACCCGAGTCAGAAAAGTCTGATAGGTCTGACCCACTTTTGGTGGTTTTAGTTTAGCTCTAGGAAGATATACTGTTAAAAACTTTGTCTCAGAAAAAAAAGATATAATTAACATAATTAATATTCACCTTTATGCTGCCCCATGATCTTCCCATCTTCAATGGAAACAAAGTTTCCTGGTTTGGGCTCTAAGTACTGTAATAAATTTGACATGGAGAAAAATATTAGGTAACTGTTAATATATATATATATATATATATATATATATAATGAATAATGGCAATATATTGAATAATGGCAATAATCAAAAATACAGTGCAAAATAAAGTCTAAAACTCTTAAAAAGATTTCATCAGTGAAAGGAGGCTTTTAATTTGTGGAGAATATTGTTCATAAACCTTAGAAGGTTTAATTTGGAGGGATTTGCTTCTTTTTTTTTTTTTTTTTGCAACCCTGTTACCAAGATTTAAATACAGTTTACATGTCAGATAAAAATGTTTTAAACATAAATGCTCAATAAAATTACAAAGCAAAGACAAACAAAATATATAACAGGGTTATAATAGGTCAGAATAGGAAACAGGGTTGCAAATTTAGCCTAAATTAAGCTAAAGGTGAAGGCTTGAAAAATTAGGACCAAAATTCCAAATTTGTTATAAATGACCTAAAATTGTTGTTGATTATAATTTTTCTTACAATAACTTTGGTATACGGGGCTGAACTGTTATAGTTTTCATTACAAAGAAGATGAGATTTGTGTTTTTATTGCTTTAAAATAAAAACAAGAGGCCATCAATAAATTCCTTAAACATACAGTTTTAAGCTGCATCAAAGAAAGTACCTCAAGAATAAAGGTCTCAAAATCTCGTTCTCCAATGAAACAGATTCCCATGCTCTTCCGGGGGGAGAAAAAGGAGATTTAATTAATTGCATTTGCAATTACATGTACACTAATGAATGTCAAGTCTCCATTGACAGAGGTCCTGGATCTTGTATGAGTGAATACTGTTATTACAGTACCTCTTTTTTCTTAAGAACATGCTGGAAGCTGGCCTCAGCGGCGATCTTCTTCACAAAGTCTTTGGTTAGACCAGCTAAGGGGAACAGTGTGTGCCGCAAAGCATCCTGGGAGATCTGACTGAGGAAGAACGTCTGGTCTTTGACGCGGTCAGCTCCCTGATAGAGCCGCACAGCTAATAAGATTCAGAAGGAAATTAAAGGTCAATTCTGAAACAAATCACACATACAACTGACATGAACACAAATAAAACTAACATCATTTTTTCTATGTCAAAAAAATATCACTGTCCATACCTCACTCCAAAAATCAAAAGAAAATTATGAGAATTTATATTTTGCATAACGAAAAGCCATTTTTTCCCCCTATTGTAATACTAGACATTTTGATACTGTTCGAATCTGGAAAAAAATCTAATTTCTTTCCCTGTTCCCTACATTTTATGGACAGATGTTACACTTACGCTTTCTAATTTCAAAGCGGTCTCTGAAGAGGGTTCTGGGAGCTGGAACGTGCTTTTGTTGAAAAACCTCCTCATCCTCCTGAGATGTCCGGGCATAGTGTCCCGTTGCTATGGCATCGGCACCTGTTGTCAAATTAGACTAAATATGACAGACACCAAAGTTGCACGAATAACAAAGACTGGTGTCCCGTTAGACTTTTAGCAAAAAAACAAAAAAAACAAAAAATACTGTATATGAATATTTTATATTTAAATACATTTTTTTTACATGCTTGTGTATTTATATATACAAAATAATTATTCATAATACAAACATATATATTATGTAAACACAAACTTTTATTTTGGATGCGATTAATCATGATTATTTCACAGGCCTATATATATATATATATATATATATATATATATAAACACACACACACACACACACAAACATCCAGCCCTTAATTATATATATATATATTACACAATACACTATATAAATAGAGTAATATAAATATATTTGTATATTTAAACAATGACAGTCCAATTTTGTATTTCTTTCTTAACTTACCTAAAGTATTAACTGCATACTGATAGAAGTGCTTAAACTTGATGTGTTTGTTACACATTATGTCTGGATTTGGTGTTCTGCCCTTCTCATATTCTCTGAGAAGATTACTGCGCACATAAAGAATAAAAATGAGAGAATATTAACAAACTGAGCACAACATTTAAAATGTAATGAACTTAAAACGACTTCTACATTTACCTAAACACTTCATGCCAGTATTCCTTAATATACGAGACCTGGTGGAAAGGCATATCCAGCATCTTACACACTTTATAGGCATCTTCACAGTCTCTCTCAGATGAACAGACGCCCTTCTCATCATGAGAGTCCCAGTTCTTCATGAACACACCCGTCACATGATAGCCTGATGGCAGACAAACAGATATCATATCTCCGCAAACATTTGATGAATACTGTATAAATTGTTTTACCATTTTAAACATAAACATTGTATGTCTTTAAAATGAATACAGCTTGCTTTAATATTTCATATCTAATTCAATGACAGACAAATAATAGTTAATTTCAGACATATATAAGTGTCTACTTTATTATTAATCCGAATACTTTATTATTAATAACTTACAATGCAATATTGAATATAATAAGCACAACATAATAGCACAGTATACAAAATAAAACAAAAGAGTTTATGTTGAAGCTCATAATGACGTTCAAATGACTCATGACGTTCATAATGTGCTCTATGAACTGGACTGTAAATTTAACGTAATAAAAATGTGTAGAATTGTGTTTTATTTTTAATACAGTGAAAACTTACCCATTCTTTTGAGTAACAATGCACTGACAGAACTGTCAACCCCTCCAGACATAGCACACACGACATGTCTAATTACACCCATAACACCAATAAAAGTGAATATGTGCTGAAATAAATGTTATACAGGTAAATATGAGGCATTTCACGTCTGTGCCATGAAGGACGCCATAATTAAAGTTCTTTTCAAATCATGACCGATCGGAAACAAAGAACAACACAAACAAAACTATAGTTCCGGGTTGTTCCTAGTTGAACACTTTAAACCGTAACACTGCAAGTAGCGTAGTAGGGTAGAAATTTTATAAGAAATTAAAATCTGCGTTCGCCGAACGGTTTTCATCACAAATTCATAAGAAACTCAGATAACAACGGATGACAGCATAAGTAAAAGGAGACAGTAAAATCAATTGGAATATAAAGTACAGTAGAGAAAGTAACTTAAAATTACATAGGCTATTACTCAACATATTATCATACATTTTCACAAATGTGGTACTTTTTTATTAATTCTTTTTAGTGCCTTAATAAAATAATTAAAGTCACAGAGAAAAAAAAAACATTTCATTTGGATACTCTTTTATGAATGAAATATTTTGCTAATAAAATAAAAATATTTCCTATATATCCTATTTAATGATTACGACAAAGGCATTTAATTCTTTGACAAGGGAACACCCAAAGAAAAGATGATTAATTGACTGATTTTTACAGAAAATACAATTCAAGTGAGCATTTCCAAATTTATATGTGATCTCGTTGGTTTATTTATTTAGTTATTTATTTTTATATGGACGAAGCCTCTTAAGAATCTTTCTTTGTTTAATCTGTTCTCCAAACTATAAAATATATTGTAGGGGAATTTACAGTCAAGACCCAAGTACCAGATATATCACAATAGACGTGAAGGACTATAATGCATTAAAAGCTCGCTCTGGGGAGATAAACCATTTAGTGCTTTGTAAGTAATCAGCAATATTTTAAAATGTATACAATGTTTAATAGGCAGCCAATGCAGTGTTGACAGAACCGGGCTAACATGGTCATACTTCCTGGTTCTGGTAAGAACTGAACTCCAAGAATTATACTCCAACACATGTCACTAAACTCCTCAGTAGGCTACCTAAGGTCGAATGATTCTGATTGGTTAAGCTATATTTAAACTTCTTCACACATGGACATAGAAGCATATCTACATTGATTTTCCAAATGACAACCATCCTGGATTAGGCACAAAGTGACCCACCGAGGTCACGAATCTGAGTTTCTATGCTACAGTTTCTTGAAGATTATAGGCCTATGTTTTAATATGTGTTGGGTGCTTCTCTCAAAATCAAGGAGAGAGCATGTTCCATGTAGGCTAATTCTATAGCAACCTAAATCTCATAAGCTTGAAGAAGTCATACAACCGTTTAATATTTAGAAGGATAAATATTGATTAATGTCTTACACACTGTCCCTTTGCTCCTCCCTTGCTTTGGAGGATCTAGGGCCTGGCTAGTCTCAGCCTCAGACGTCACGCCCACGGAACGTTGGCTAAACGTCTGATGCATATGGTACACTTAACTGGAAACACTTCAGGAATGTCGAAGTCGTCACCTGATTGGTTGAATTTTATCGGATTTCCGGGGGCGTCAGTGTCGCGTTTATTTTCGGTCCGCCGGGAAACAACGCGCAGATGTGTGATTGCGGAAGAAAAACTGTTGTGTTTATATGAGTGACAATCATAGACAGTAAAAGGTGACAATGAGCATTTATCAAGATCAGCTAAACGTAGTTGTATGTCCCATCCTATCTATTATGGAAGATCAAGTGAAGTACCTAAGTACCTAATATCAGCCACGTTTGTGGGCAAACATGAAACAACAGGTCTACGCTGACATCGCAGCTGGCCGATTCAGTATTCATATATAGGGCGCACTGGATTATAAGGCGCATAAGATACTGCAGAGTCAAACGTTTGACTGGGTTTGCGTTATGCATCCACTAGATGTGCTAAAGGCTAACCGGCTAAAGGCGGCGCCGGAGGTGAGGAGTTTATTTAGTAGGCGTGAGCGCGCTGGGGCGGGGACGTAACTTACATTCGCAGCCTGTGACTCATGTGAGTATTCAATGTGCGGCATTGACAAAGTGGGCATAATGGACATGAGCGCGAGTTTGTGGGCGAATTTAATAGCATTGTTGTAATTAATAGCGTTGTTGTCAACGTAGGAGCGTTGTTAACCAATTTATCCATATATAAGGCGCTCCGGTAACTGCTGCTGTCTGCTGACTGACTTGTTGCACGCCGGTCTGTTGTTGTGGGGACATTTCCACGCCCTGAAACGTGACGCTGAACGAAACGAACTGTAATTGGTTGTTTGACATGTCAGTCAAACGGCCTTATGGGCGGGCCTTGGCCAAAGAAAGCTGCTATGAATTCCAGACCTTCAGCCGTCAGTCTGAAGGTCTGGCTACGCGAGACTAAGGGCCTGGCTCACAGATGCCTCTGGCTCTTGACTGCGTCGCCAAATAGGCTAGATGATGAGCCAAGTGGGCTGTCCCAGAACCTTGACACCTGAGTGTGGAGGTCTAGAAGATGGCGCCACAGCTGAATCATCCATCCATCCATTTTCCAAAATGCTGGTCGAGTGGTGCTACAGCATGATATGTTACAGGTATAAATTTTTAATTGATTATTACATTCTTTAATTAATAAATACATAGACATTGCAAATAGACAATGCAGTGCATCCCAAGACAAATCTGCTTACTTAGTGGAATATGTAGATGGCTGCAGTGGTTTGTGTTTGAGTTCACATGCACAATTCATCCCCAATGCAAAACAGTAAACTCTTGCTGTTACAAATTAATTTCCTGTAAATAATTCCCAGAAATTTGCAGCTCTCCACCTGTACTGAACCAACAGCAAACCTTTGGCAACAACAAACATTTTGCTGCTACTAGCAAAATAACCTTCAGTGAATGTTTGACTATATCAAGAACTTTAGACTAGAATGTCTATGAAACATAGAATGAACCTAAAACATTACTGTAATCAAGTGAAATCAATTTACCTCCATTTATATAGTGCTTTTTTACAATGCAGATTTTTATTAAAAACATTGGAGAACATTATATTAGAGTCTTCTGCTTTTCTGGATCACACAGCACAGGCTCCCGCAGTTCTATGTCCTTAGACATCCTTTTATCATTCTGTACTTTCCTGTTAATCTGTGTGATGGCCAGCCATAGCAGGATATTTCCTAACACCCGCAGAGAGTTGACCAGTCCCAGAAACAGGAACCTGATGAGGGTCACATTAAATTTTAGCATGCATCAGTTGGGGCTACATGATACCCCTGCCAGATTTGCTCACCTAAAAGTCTCAGTGTCATACATTCTGCAAGCACCTCTTCCACCACATTTTTTGTGACCCCATTTCAGACAGGTAGAGTCAATAAGAGCCCCAAAGTAAATAGGAGCAGGAATACCACCTTTAAAAGAGTGAAATTGCATTAAAAACAATCCTGTGCCAGACCTCAATGTGATCGACATCTGTAATTTAATTAAAATTCTTGTGGCACTTCTTCTAAATAAACCCAAACAATACAAATGTGAACTTACCCAAAACTCTTAAAACTAATAGTAGCACGCCCACCGAGAGAGACTTTAGCTCAGGATCCACAATCCTGCAAGGACAAATTAAACATTTAATACACATTTCTTCCATATAAATATGGCATATATACCAATGTGGAATAAAACAAAGTTGTGATTAATCACGGCAAGATTTGTTGTACAGTAATTAAACAGAACCTCAATGAGATGATGAAGAAGGGAACAGTTCCCAGACAGTACACAAAGAAGGCGAGAGACTCCAGTGCCAGATGGATGTAGAACATTACAGTACATCTGCTCTCTCGTGAACACTGTCCAAGCACTGCAGACGAGTTCCCAGCACTCATTCCCCAGCTCTGGACACATGCACAGTGGAGGAATGTCTGACAAACACGTGCAAATAAAAAAAAGAAAGAAAAGACACTCAAACACATGTAATAATGAATTTGAGGTCAGCAGTTAAAGATAGTTGTTCACCATATTCTGCCCTGTGCCATGAGTGGAACTGCAGCCTGCGTGACAAGGAGAGATGTAGGTCACTCCATTCTGTCCACACACTGGGTCCCATTGGAGGTCAGGACACCCACAGTCGGCATTGCAAGAAGTGAGTACATCACTGCTTATGTTCTGAACTTCTACAGATCTGCCACATAAACAATAGATTATATTATATTACATATTTCTGTGACCCTACATGGGGCAAGCAGTTAAATGGAAAGATTGAATTGATGGATAATATATAGTTTCCATGATGCAATAAGAGTGTGACTGGAGATGAAAGTACCCTTGATAGGGGACTGTGACCCCAGCGACATCTGTATTCTCACAGCTAAGAGCTAAGTTAGGTATGGTGAGAAACAATGCGGTGATTCCAGAGAAAAGCGTCAATCTTGCAGATCCCAGCAGATCCAGTTTAAACCTCTTCATTATCCATCCACTCAGGAAAATACCCAGAGCCATTGGTGGAATAGAAGTCACTCCTACAGAAATATATAAGCACACTCAGTTTAAACAGCCAGCAGACAAATAAAAAAAATAAAATAAAATATAGACATTGCAGTAATCATGGCAGTTGTCACCTATGAGAAAGTTTGTCTTGGATGCACTTTGTCCAAACTGCTGTTCCAAATACTTTGGCGTATATGTTATGAGTATGACAAAGGCATTGAATGCCACTACATTGGAAATCAGGTAGAGGAGATAGATCTTGTTGGTGAGCAGACTCTTCAGAGATGGCCCAAAATCTAGAAAACAAGCAAATATGCAAATGTTTAAAACAATCTCTTTTTTACATTGTCATAGTAGACCATAATAACACTTTATAATTTATAATAATAACCTCCATTAATTTCCTGAAAACTCAATATTCTTCCAAACCTGTATTATGTGTTGTAACCTGATCTGTGTTACTAATTTGAATCATGCATCTAACCCTTGTGGTCTGTGTAAGGTTGCCATACCTTTAGCTATCTCTGCAAAGCGGGGTGTATGTTTATGTCGTTTGGAGAGGTTGTCTAGCTCATAGGTTTGGGGGTTTTCAGGTAAAGCTCTTGGCAGGAACCAGAGAGGCAAAGCAGCAAGCAGAGACAACAGCCC